TCATGTGACCGTTACTTTATGCGTCATTACTATTTTTTTCTCTCTCTACTAATTACATTGATAATAAGCTTCCGAATGGAAGCAATACCAATTTCACACGTAAAACTTCAGTCATTCAGCGTAGGCAAGAGTATCAACGTAATATTTACATGCAATGTAATATTGACCAACGAAAGTACTTTGAATAATGGAAATTTATATAAAATTTACAAATCTTAAAAAATTAGACAACGTCAATNCAATACCAATTTCACACGTAAAACTTCAGTCATTCAGCGTAGGCAAGAGTATCAACGTAATATTTACATGCAATGTAATATTGACCAACGAAAGTACTTTGAATAATGGAAATTTATATAAAATTTACAAATCTTAAAAAATTAGACAACGTCAATCTCTGTCTCTGCCACAGCTATGGCTATCGAATATTCATCAAATATTAGATTGCATGAAGGATAAAAAAAACATGAATTTGTATTATATGACTTTTGAAGTCATCCAGAGATGGAAAACATTGATAAAATAACAATGTGCGATTTTTCAGAAAAAAAGCGTTTCAGATGCATTACTCGATGCCAGGATGTACTGAATCGATTAACATAAAATTTTACACAAGTATGTGGGCCAATCATGCAAATTAGCCGCCAGAATCTCAGGTATTTAGTCCAAGTTTAACACGTATTACAGAGCCCACATTGAATTTTAATTTAAAAAATTATAAAAACGCTGATATCTCGAAAACTTTGTATAGTAGGGTATACATATTTTGATTGATCTTGATGGAAGATACCATGACAAATATTTTGAAACAAAAAGTCAATCGGACCAGTAGTTTCGAAGATACTGAGCATAACAGTTTTTCCCAAAAAGTTGAATATGTGGTAACAGGAAAATAATATTTAACAAATTCAATCATAAATTAAATAAGTTAAATGAATTTTCAAGTTAACATGTTTGAAATAATTATTTTTATTTAGTAGATTTTTACCCTTTGAAGCGCTAGGCGCATCTATATAAATCATTCAGGCGTCTAATGTCGATAATTTGAGTATTTGATAATATTTGAATCATAATAATGAATTCGGGGATTGAAATGACAAGAAAAGATTCGAATTAAACCCAATGATTAGTTTATTGCTAATACTAAGAGATTCTCATCACAGAGATAAAGAAAACGAGTGAGAGAAAGAATTCGAACGAAGCTACATTTTGAAATATTGATTTTGAGTAAATATGAAGAAAAATACAATAGGCCAAAATAAACCGATCTTTTTACCTAATTTTGTACGAACCAGTGTTTAAAATAATCCAGAATAGTTGAACAGAACAGTGGATGATTCGATTGAATGGTTTTTGAATTTCACTTAGGTTGTTGTAGAGTTTGATTCACTTATTTCACTATAATCTTATCTATCTATATCTATCGTGCTGTCCATGCACTCTTTTCACGATAACGTAGTGAACAATTTGCAGTTCACCGACCGCTACTTGTCAGGATCTTAACTACGAAGGTATGCGTATTTGTGATATTATCCCGAATTACTTGAGATGACTCGCGTACGCCGGGCAGGACTGATAAACTGATTCCGGGGTAACGTTCACGAGCAGAGCTTAAAGAGCCAGACCTATTTGACGTGCCGTTTTGGCATCTAAGACGCGACTAATTTATAATTTCAAAAAAGAGAATTGTATGGGCGAAAATGCTATGCATTTTCTTGTTGAATGCGCGGTTTTGACCATTCTCAAGGACAATGGTGGCGCGTTTGCCGAGTAAATTGAGTTGCTTCGACAGCAACTGACATCCGGTGGACAACGAATAAATCCGACTTATTGAAAAATAAATTTATTTTATCGAAGTAATTTTTAAATAAATTCCTTACATGACAGTCCCCCCCGTGAAGGCTGGGGAATTGTATTCGCCGGTCTTCATGCGCTAGAGTCGTGACTTGATTCGTTGTCCATCGTTTACAATTTTTGTTTTACGAAATTTTCCAATGTAACTGTCTATAGAGTTTATACAAAGCAAATTTATATGATACCTGCGTGTAACCGCATGGGTTTCAGTTGACTATAGTCAACTGAAACCCGAAATAACGCATGACGCGCATGCGCATCACCGATTAAAAGAGAATAGCAAGGAAGGAAATCTAACCTCCGTATAGTGAATACATGGAATGACAGAAAAATGAAAAGGTTATTTTCGAAGCAGATAAAATGAGCCAAAATCGTATAATTCCTGATGGTGATGAAGAGTTAGGCAGTGAGGAGAATTTATGTACTGATGAGGAGGATTTTATTGGTGATGTGACATTTGAAGAAAATGAAAATAAAATATTCTCCAATGAAGCAACAGCAGGATCGCCAAAAACTCCGCAGAAGAGAATCCGTTATGATGATTTTGATAACAACGAAAATCTTCCATCAGATATTTTAGCCAATGCCCAAAAGCCCAAAAATCAGACGCTACCAACAACTTCAATAGAAAAATCTAAGAAGGTTCACGAAATTTTTAAGACTTGGATGAAAGAGAAAAATTTAACCCGAGTATCAGAAACTGTATTGCTTGCATATTTCATGGAATTATCAGAGAAATATGTTCCGAGCACCTTGTGGGCTACGTATTCGATGTTGAAATCGACTCTGAAAACTTACGATAACTTCGATATTTATCCCTTTACACAACTGTTGGCTTTCCTCAAACAAAGAGGCAAGAAACATCAAAAGAAAAAGTCAAAGGATTTGACTGAACAACAGGTCTACCAGTTTCTCACTTTTGCGCCAGACCATAAATGGTTAGCCGTCAAGGTAAATAACGACCTGTGAATAAGGGGTGGGGGTAAATGATGGGTACTAAAATCGCTTACATTTGGTATAATAATAATTGAACAATTACGATTCACCCAATTCTTTGTAATCATTCATTGCAGGTAGCATTAATATTTGGAATAAATGGTGCTTGCCGACATCAAGAATTACACGATATAAAAATGCAAATGCTACAGGATGAGGGAAATTATTTGCACGTGACTCTCTCGGCTGAAATAACCAAAAATTTCCAAGGAAGAACATTCTCTGTCACTGGGAGGTGGTACACTATTGTAAAAAAATACTTGAACGCTCGACCACAAAATTGCACACTGGATAGTATTTTTTTGACTTTTCGCGATGGGAAGTGCACCAATTCAGCGATGGGAATAAATGCACTGGGTGCAGTTCCAAGGAACATTGCAACTTATTTGAAACTCCCCGATGCGGATAAGTATATAGGACATGCTCTCCGTCGATCCTCTGCAACCATTTATTGCAATGCTGGGGGAATATTACTTGGCTTGAAAGATCTTGGCGGATGGAAATCTGACACAGTCGCTCAGTCTTATCGCGCAGAGTCTCTACACAATAAAAAAAATACCTGCAATATGATTACAAATGCTGTTATGACTGCGGGAGGTGCGCTTCCTCAGCCTTCATCATCCCATATTGACAATATGGAAAATAAACAAAATTGTGGAGAGTTGACTGCAGGAATTAAAATATTGAATCAGCAGAGAGTTCTACAACCTTCAAAGACAAATATCAATGTTTTGCAAGATCACAAGAGTTCATCTAAACCGGTGAGAAATCACCCAACAAATGATGCGACAGAGCCATCAACGCCAAAGAATTCAAATGATCAAAATAAGGAGAACTCAAATTCGAATATGGTACAAAGCTTAGATTTAGTTAAAAACGTCACTCTCAACTTCAACAATTGTTCTTATATTACAATTAATATTAAAAAGCAAGATTGATTCTCTAAATGTTTTCATTCATAATAACTATTTGACCAAAGTTTAAGTCATAAAGTAGCATTTATGTTTAAGTCATGAAGTTGAAATGTGATGAAAAGTAAAATCATAAGAATAATTTAATTAATGATGTTAAAAAATAATATTACAGTTGAAGAAATGTTAATCGATGTATAACTGTTATTTCAGAAATAAACTATCGCTGAAACTGCTCAATATTTTTCAATTACGTTGTGTATCATATTTTTTTATAATTATAACTTTCTTTTTTTTTGCGAATTCTTAATGATTTTTAAAAATTGTATTTTGTAATTATTATAATTAATTTTTTTCAATTAAAAATACTTTACAAGTTTTTTGAACTACATATTTAATGAATATAATAAATTTTTTCTTCATAAGTTCCGCATAATTTTTAAATTACACTTTTTTATAATTATTTTTTAAAATAAATGTGATCTTTTTTCTTCAGTGGGGGGGGGGCT